AGCCAGACTTACTGTAAGCAGTGGCCGAGTCTCTCTCCGCCTGCTCCGAGCTCAGGAACATGGTGAGGGCCGAGTACGGCACATGGAAACACTGATGGGAACATTTATCTTTATTAGGGTTCGGCCGTGACTCTTGTCTACGGCCAACTTCCTGCTACCTTTCACTCGTCGTGTATGATGAACTTATAAGGAAGTGCAAACTCTTTTATGAGTTTTTATCAAACTGAATGTAGTAAACAAAGGTTTGTGTATTTCTATCTGTATAACTCACCGTCTGAAGCGACTGGAAGAGGCAGTAGAAGAAAATGTACCAGATGACTTTCCCAGTTTCAAAGGGAGGAACGTACCAGATGAGGAAATAAGAGAGCACCGCCAGAGGGGTAGAGATCAGGATCCTGCAGATAAGCAAAGAGGAAATTAATAAAAACGAAAAAAAAAAAAGAGTTTTTGGAAAAAGAATCTTCTTCAAGCATGAAATGATTTTATCCTGTTTGATTTGAACAACAGTGGTGCTCCCAAAGGGTGGCCAATGGCCACCCACTGAACATTGTTGAAGGATGTAAAGAACAACAAAATGCACAGCTGCAGGTTCACCTCCCCACAGGAACCACTTTGGTGCCACCCCAAACATTTTGCTGGCCCCCTTATGAAGATTTTCTGGGAGCGCCACTCTTCAACAGCCAAAGCTGCGACAACTTTCTCCTCGTGAGCTGTTCACCTTCAGTTAACGACTTAACGATGATTACCAGCAACAGGAACGCCGTGTTCTTTGTTGGGTGCTCTGGTAATAAGTCGAGTTTCAAGTATGGCCTGATTGGACTAGGAATGTTTCTTTGCTCATGAGAGTTATTGTGTCTTCACGTTTTGTCTTTTTTCTCCTTTTGTTTCATGTGATGAGGATGGACACACCTGAAATCCGTGGAAAACCAAGTCAGCACAACTCGTGCCGGAAGTGAACACATCCCGTTTGCTCAACTGTGACTTCATCAGATGGGATATGACGCCACGAAGGAAACGCTCCCCGAACATGAGATATCTTCCCCCGTGGTGCTCAGGCTCTCCGTCTAATCCAATGTCAACACTCAGAAGGTGTCTGCACAGTGGGAGGGGCCCTGCTCGCCCCGCTCTCTCACCCATGTGATGTCATTAACTGTACACCGGTGGGAGTGGTGGGCAAGTTCCAGCATATGCTTCACCAAAAGATTTGCTCTTAGGGATGCAAATGTCTGTCGCATCAGGTGAAAGCACACCAAAAACCAACATCCGGGAGGAATTGTCTGTTTTCACTCAAACGATCCGATCGCGTTTACAGCTTAGCAGACTCAGAGCGTCCCGTCAGCGCTGTACCCACACCAGTGCTGACCCCACAACACTTTTTATAACTGAGCTGACGAGAGATGTACATCTCCTCACCCAGGAAGCCACAACCCAACATAAACGCAGAGTCAAAACCGGTTCTGTGACAGAAGAAAAACACGTTTTCTACTGTGAAACACATTTTATTTGCAGCTGGAATTAGAAGAAAATGCTCTTATTTACTCCCTTCTTAAAAAAGGAAGTGCTAAATTATATTTTAATTTTAAGAGACATTCTATAGATAAATGCCTGGGATTTATTTATGCATTTAGGAAAGACCAGGACACCTACAGCTGGTCAGTTGTAGCGCTGAAGCCCAGCTCCAGCAGGGAGATCTGACCTGTAGTAACCTCCTGGATTCCTCAGACACTATTTAAAAAGTCCTGCAGGGCTCTTCGTAGCTCAGAGCTGCAGCGCCATTGGCTGAGGCGGGTGGTGTGTTGCTATATGAACCAATCAGCAGCTCGCTGAATTGGTAGTTGCACTAAACCTCCCCACACACACACACACCGCTTTGACAAAGGAGGGCTCGCCTGCTTCCTCCCAGCTCGCATGTGCTGCTCTCATCAGTACAGCAGAGCTGACGGTGATGCAAGCGAACATACCAACCATTCCTCCCGACACCCCCACAGCCCGCCTCTGACGACAGGATCGAGGCAACGCGTCTCAGTGAGCACAAGCAGCATCCTGCATGACCCAGTTCCAACATCTGGAAACCGAATAGAAATGTCGGTATGCAGACCCAGTTAGGAAAAAGGGATTTTAAAATAAAACTTTTGCATTTGCAAAGCAGCCGTGAAATAAAACACATGATTCTGAATTAATTCTACATGCATGCTCTTGTGTTTTGGACCCAGAGGGAGAATTAAACACAGAAAACCACAACGGACCATCATCTCACAGCTGCAGCCGCGTTCCCAGCAGATCTCATTATAAAGATGCTAAAGCATTTACCCCGTCCTGCACTCCACCTTCTAGCCTTTACTTCACCGGGCTGTTTCTATCTTAACCGCTCAGAGATGCTGAGGAGGCAGTGATGACAGAAGACTGATGACATGACTATAACCAGAAGCTCAACTGACAACCAACACCGAGTTTCTCCCATTAAGGTGTTAAATGTGTCCTCTGGGATGTAGGACGAGGGCTGCAGGAGGCTCGGCGCCTCTAAAGCTCAGAGTTTCAATAAGAAACGACCAAATTTGATGCTGAAAATCTCACAGAAGGTTTACGGGTTGTGGGTAGAAATGAGGAAGTGCTAATTTCTTTAGTATTTCCTCTTCAGTGATTGGTGATGTGACTCAAAGTGTTTTCGGCTCAGCTCGTTCACACTAACACGTTTACAGCTGAAAAACTTCCAAGAGGAGGGAAGAAGAGATGACATCACTGGGTTTTACCAAGAAAAGGTGTGGGGCCGTAGTAAGTACCCTGAGGTGCTAAAAGACAGAGAATTGTGGCATCAACAAGTCATCTCCGTGCTGTGATTCTGTTCTGATCAGCAAGTGAACCAGGTTCATTCACTGTGCTGACTGAGATCACCTGGTTTAGTTGTTGAACTGAAGAAGAGCACGGCATGGAGATGACTTGTTGAAGCCACAGTTCCCCGTCTCTGCTAAAAGGTGTCTACTGTCTAAACTATTAAAAAGCACCACACAGAATCTCAGGAACAAAGTGTACCATGGTAGCATGCGTCCAATCCTCGTCCATGGGCTTCGGGAGACCAGGAAGCCCACGGTAGGGTCCGTGACAGCGTCCCAAGCTCGACCAACAAACAAGATGATAGAGGCATAGAAAGGATCCAGCTGGGAAGAAGAACATAGAACATCCGTCAGCACAGCTAAAGAAAAGAATGAGCCCTAACCTTTAGAGGTCACAAGCAGGTGGATAAAGTTGTACACAGTAAATCCTGACTTACAGGGAGCTAAACAGTAGCAGAGCGGCTATAAAATACAACTTTACAGCTTTTTATAAAAAGGTCACCAGGCAAAAGGCAGCTGGCTCTGACGCCAAACGGAGAAGGTGCCACTTGGCAGCCCGACTGATGTTAATCTGCTCAGCGGAGGCCCGCCTGACTGAACGCCAGGCACCATGAATGCTCCATCCCTGACTGTACAATCTGCACCACGCTGTGCCAACCAACAGGTTCATAATGAATGGCGCTGGAAGTCCAATCCCCTCTGACCTACAGGCTATAGTGGTCCAAACCATCAGATTACTGTCAGAGCCCATTAAATCGAGACCCTCCTCATCGCACTGCCATTGTTCCCCTCACTAATATTTTTAGAAGGAGGCCCCTTTGAGCCTTTAGATTCAGAGTTATGCTTGATTGAGATGCTTTAAGGGAACAGGAAGGACAGAGAACAACATCTTACCCTCTGGATTGTAAATCCCATGGATCATTTTACGTTCTCAGGACAGGAGGGACACTTCTACATGTGCACAATGTTCCCAGTGAGCGGGTGGTTTTAGGACTGGACCAAGGTTATTTTTTAACCCCGCCATGCTGTGATGCCCCACGATTGATTAGGGGTGCTTGAGACGTATTAAAAGGGTTTTAAATGTCTCACCTGAGCTACATCAAGCAGGTAGAGCTGTAGGAAGAAGCCCAAGGCGCATCCTGTGATCTGGTAGGGAGCACCGCCAATCGCGTAGCAGATCTTGTTGCAGACTGACAACCTGTTTCTGTGTTCATGCTGGAAGAGGAAAACAAGTAGAAGCGGATCTGTTAGCACATCAACCTTTACCATCCATCTAGTTGTAGGCTCCAGAGCAGGGGTGACTGAAATACAGCCGTGACAAATAAATCAGTCCTCAGTCTTGTCTAATTTGTAACAGACTCAAAACATTTGGCCTGGGAGTCGGAGAAAGTCTAAGAATTCCAGCTGGCAAACGTAGCGCCTGCCATGTAGCATTGTTGGCTTAAGTCAGGGACAGTCCCTAGGAAACAAGCAAGCCTTGGTTCTCAAACAAGCTCTTAATTCTTAGCTATTTTCTCCACTGTCACCGTAACTATTACCTCAGCAGTCAGACTGAACAGCTGATCTGGCGGCAACACACAGCCTGTGATGATGGTGCCAGGGGCATGACAACACCACGTCATCACCTACAGGGCGACAGCACCTTGGCAGCAGCCTGGACCGACCCAACATGGCCTTTGAGCTGTGCTTTGACCAGAGAGAAGGTAAAAGAGACACCCTCCGTCTGACCAATCAGAACGCGGTCATCCTTGCTGCCTCTAAAAAGATGTTAACAGTTTATACAAACCAGCTTTAAGCACAGAGCCTCACCTGTCACGACAGCACACCTGAGTGTAACTGAATAAACCAGTGTGTTGATACAAACAACTCAGGTGTGTTTAGGTGACATACTGTTGGAATAAGAGGAAGTCACCATGGCAACAGAAGGAAGGTTACAATAAGTACTATTGTAGCAAACGTGGCTTAACTCTCTGAAGCACGTGCCGCTCTTTTTTTTTTACCTTTGCTGAATGTTTTACGCCTGTTCTACAGGTGTGCACACGCCCAGCACTGTCAGGTGAAAACTGTGCACTTCCTGTCACGCTGACAGAAGTTTGTTATCATAGTTGAAACACTGATGACTAAAATTGATCCACAAAAGAAACACATTCCTATCAGGTCTGGGTCCGTTTATCAGAGCCATCTGTACATAAACAGATGAGGAGGATGGGTTCAGATAGTCTAGCTCGGCTTTATTCTGCTTAGCTTCAGGTTCCACTTCTTCTGACTCATTTGGATCAGAGAAGTTTTATTTTAGATGAGTACAGGATGATCCTCCATCCATGTCGGACACGTCACCTACGGTGGCTGCTTCCTGTTGCGTTCGCTGCTGTCGGAAATGTGGAAATTCATTTGGAAGTCTAATAAATTTGGAAAATAAAGATCACATGGGAAAACCTGCATTCCGTCTCCTTTTGCTTTGGAGCTGAACGTAATCCCTGAAGCTAAATGTGTACATTTGGCTCCTGTGAGGCTAATGATTGTGTTTTACTCGCTCTGAAGCCCCCAAACGCAGCAGCAGGCGTAAGAAATCATTTTTAGGTGTAATAAATGATGCCTGCAACGATTTTACTAATTCATACTTTTATTTATAAACGAAACCGAAATATTGTTTTGATTTTAAGAAAATTGTTCTGAGCTTCCCTAATCAACGTGATTCTGATATTATAAAATCAATTAAATATTTAAATATGTGTAATAATTACGCATGAGGCGAGCTTATTAGACTCCTCGTGACATAAAACCTGCAAAATAAAAAAATATAAAAATAATACAAACGCGAACCAAGACTCGGATTCGGTTGCTTCTAGCTTCGAGAGAATGTCATTTACATGTTTTTGGTCGCTTCGTGCTTCATGCTGGGGAGAAACGACTCGTGGGAAATCGATGTACTGAATTAAAATAATACCTGTGCGAGTCTATTATTATCGGTTATTGTTTCCTGCAGGATGAAAAGGCTCGTCTCGCGCCCATAAACCAGCTAACGCTCGTGTCTCTCCCCGTGTCAGCCCACCGGTGTGGCTCCATTCATTCACACATGCAGCTGGGAACACTCCCATGTTCCAGCTTTCAGAGGTGACTCGGTTCAGCGGATTAAAGACCTCCGAGGCCAAAAATGCAGATAAACATATATAACGACCTTACCTTTGGGGGCACGTCGAAACTATCCGAGCTGTCGGTTTTATTAAACAAGCTAGCGTTGGAGTATTGTTCAGCTCCTTCTCCTTTTGCCATTGCAGATTAGCAAGTGCCGTGTTGGAATTTGGTTTAAAAATACAAAAAATAAATAATAAATCGAAACGAATCTTCCCAATAAGGGAAGCAGAAACGCAAACAGACGGGTTATTATCGTCCTGGGTGCTGTTTGAAAACTGAGGATGAGAGGCTGGCTGTAGTAAATTTAGAGTCTCCTCCCTTTTTATTCCCGCCCCTTTTCAGCGCGTGCCATTCACCCCATGTTTAAGCCCCGCCCACTCGGGCGGCTCTGGATTCGATTCTCCACCATTTCTCCTGAAAGTCGAGCTTTAGCACTCATTTCCTCTCAGTAAATACAGAATAATAAGTGAATGCATGTCTAAAGCATCGTGATGTTTGAGGGGTTCATGTGGAGATGGTTGTAAAATAATTATTCAACAATCAAAGCAAAATTTTGCTATTCAACGCAAATGTTTACCTTTTCAACAAAATAAAAATGACTGCAAATTTGTATCACAGTAATTAGGGAAATCACAACATGTTTTTCATAAATTTCAGTAAGACGTATTCTCTCTCTCTCTCTCTCTCTCTCTCTCTCTCTCTCTCTCTCTCTCTCTCTCCTCTCTCTCTTTCTCAAATAGATTTCAAGACACTCTTATTGGTAGAGTGAATCAGATTAAGATGTGTGTTCTTATTTCCATTCCAGACTCGCAGTATGATGCCCAACATCGCATCAACATTGATGTGGTCATGTTGGAATCAAAATTAAAAGCTCCTCCAGAAGTATTGACCTCCCAGATCAAAAACTTTATCGTAATGTAGCACAATGCAGAAATAGTTGGATGTGGCTGCAAAAAACTTAGATTTAATCAATTTAGGAAAAAATAATGTTTAGTAATTTGTTTGTCAACCATTAACTCTAAAGGATTAAATATTTTGATGACTGCAAAGACCTGAGAAGGATAACTAAATCCAGTTTTGAGGCGCACCTTAACACGTTGGCAGAATATTCATAAAAGTATGGGATTACATCGTAGATTATATTAACACTATGGCATAATCCCTCTTTATCCGCTGGCTTCTCAAATGGAACATCTAGATGAAGGGAAGCAGGGGTTTATTCCGTAGAAGATTTATGTAAAGATTGAGTGAAAAATTTAAAATCCCTCCTTTCGATGTTAGTAAATTAGCAGTTCAGAAACTGGATTAAAGACAAAATGAAGAAATCCCATTCAAAAATATTGGACAAAGATAGAAAAATTGAAAAATTTATCTCACAAAAATAGCTATTATCCAAAAAGATTTTTTAATGATATTTAGGAAAGAAAATGTAATAAGGAAAAGTGGGGAAAAGATCTAGGACTAAAGATGGTAAAATATCTGCTTTTACAAACAAAAGACATACTCTTCCAATTATATTTGCTAAATCAAACCC